TTTTTTGTACTATATGTGATTAAGGTTGTGATTTAGGGGGTTAGGGTTCTGATTAAGGGTACTGTTTGGGTTCGTGCGAGAGCAAATTCTTGCTACATCATAACCCACACCCAAAGGCTGCCATCCACAATGCACACCGATCTCCACCATGAACTACTACAACCCTCTACTACCATCACCATTTGCCACCAACCCACCTCACAACCCCATTTAATTTAGTCTTATGGGGAAATTATTCAATTTTGGGTGTAGGGTTTAATTGAGTATAAATTTAATTTAGAGGTTTTGAAAAGTGTTAATTGACATTGAATTTAGGTTTGATACTGTTGGGGGGGGGGGGGGGGGGGTTGAGAAGCTTATTGGATTTTTGTTTTGGAGTTTAATTGGATTTAAATTGAATTTATGCCTCAGTTTTCTCTAATCTCAATTGTGTATGTGCTAGTTTTAGAGCTTTTCATATATGTTATTTATGGTTTTATTTTATCTTTGTTTTTTATTTATGTGTTGCTTGTTATTGTACTTTGAGATCTAAATTGCTTTTGAATTTGGATTTTGTTGTTTAAATCTACTAGTTGATGTACGCGTTACATGAACTAATTTTTAAAAGATCTGTATTGTTTGTAAGTGTGAATACAAAAAAAAAAAAATGCCCCTTAACACAATTTTAAAATGTGCTATGTAAAATGTAGGTTGTAGTTATAAGATTAAAAGATACATTTGATTTTTATTTCCTTTTTAGACACTTAAATTTTTTATTTATTTTTGATATGACAGCCTCTTAAAGTTTTTTGCCACATTATCTTCTCATGAAACTAGCTTCCAAGGATTTTAAAACGTTGAATATGAAACTTTAGATTGGAATAATAATAAATTCTCTGTTGGAACTGCTTATAAATGGCTAACTAGTTCTGGTGAGGATAATAACCCTTTGAACTTGAACTGGGACTAGATTTGGCACAAGAAAATCTCCCAAAAACTCAAGTTCTTCTTTGGCCTGTTCAAAGTGACAGAATTCTATCTAATCACCTCAAATCAGCCACAAACATGACTAATGATGTGACTTGTGACAGATGTAAAGTCCAATGTGAATCTACTTGGATTTTGGAGAAGTCTTCTTGGGAAACCGTTGGACCTCGAATTCCCTCGACAATGATCTGTAGAATTGGCTCCTTGCAAACCACAAGAAGAAAAGAAAAGAAAAATGAAAAGGAGTAGAATGGCCTGTTGTTTTCACCTCTATCATCTGGCATATTTGGAAAGATAGGAACAAGGAGATTGTTGAAAAACTCAAACTCCCCCTAGTATTACTGCCAAAAATGCTTGGCTTTTGGCTCAAGAAATTAACTTTGCTTTCCTGAAAAAACTTGGATTGTCAAAGATCATTGCTCCAAGAAACTCATTGGTTGGTCTTTCCCTCCTGCTGGATGGATGAAACTGAATGTTGACAGATGCTCCAAATGGAATCTTGGACTTCCAGCAATTGGAGGATTGATGAGGAATGACCAAGTAGTTGGCAATTGGGTTTCTATGGAAGACTTCCTAATTTTTCTAGCACTCAAGCAAAACTTTGGGCGATTTACAAGGGCCTCCAGATTACACATTCTTAGGGAATGAAGAATGTCATTGTGGAAACTGACTCCCTGGACCATAGACTCCTCACTGTAAGATTGGAAGAAACCCACCTGAAGAGAGGGATCATTGCCGAATGCAAGAGGCTTCTCACCTTTCTCAACTTCCCCATCCAACACAGCAAGAGAGAAGCAAACTTTTGCATTGACAACCTTGCAAATTTGGGTGTCAAGCAGAATGATGGAATGGTGCTCCTCAACTTTACACCTTGCTCAATGAGAGAGCTTTTGAGAAACGATAGTGCTAGTGTCTCCTACGTGAGAGGCTATATTTAACATTTTGAACCTTTCCAATGTCCCGAAAATAAAATACCTTACTACTAATCTATTTATAGTAAAATAAGTCTTTCACCTGACTAACACAAAAAAAAAAAAAAAAAAGCACATGTTGGGCCTCTATTTGTTTTAATAAAATCAAAAAAAAAGGGCCACTTAAAGCGTTTGAAGAGACCTTCTAAAGGAAGTCTCATTGCAAAACTAAACGAAAGGTGGGAGTAGGATAAAGCAAGCATCAAAAGCCATAGTTTCGAAAAATATATTCCTCTCGCTTTTTTATTTTTTAAAGTTAATAAAATTAGAAATGAACAAATTATATTTTACCATGTGTCCAAACTAACCATCCTCAACTTCCACCAAGTAACTACCATTAATTTAAACATTTATAAATTTACTTGTATTACTCTATACCTTTTCATAATTGTTTTACCTTAAATAGTTCGGTGAGAGGGATATAAAATAATGAGAAAAAAAAGATGATGGATCATACATACCGTGAATTACACGGGGCGGCCTGCTAGTAACTTACATACTTTAAAGTAGTTTTTTGATGATATGAATTGCAAGTGGTCTATAGTTATGTTTAATAATTTTCATAGTACTAGATTTTTTTTTTCAATTGACCTTGATTTGGAAATCTGTGTCTTTTTTTGTTTTTTTTATCTTAGTCCTTAATCTGAAATGAATTGCTTGCAATTAACTTGCAGTAGACCTTTATTTCTGCGACTGATTGTCTCTATTTCTACGATTATTGTTGTTTGATGTGTTTTAGCTCAAATTTCAATAATATTACTATGCTTTAATTTCTTAGTTCACTGGTCTTTGTTATTTTGATTCGTTGATTATAATGCTTGGAATGCTGTTTGTCAAATAAATTGAAAATTGAAAATTATTAAAAATATATTATGTAACCAAATGGATGACTAATAGCTATTGTAATCTAATTTATTGACTTAATTTGTTTACCTAATTCATTATGATATTTGGATTGACTGTGGGTTCCATCAAATATTGGAACTTAGTGTTAATCCAATGGTTCCATTGAAAGCACATCATTATGTCAGCAAATTAGGTTAGATTTTTATGTTCAAATAGGATTATCTGTAGTAAATATAGAGTAACCATTGAAGTTATCATGCAATATATTTAAATTAGTTATTTTTCGTGCCTGAGTAATAAAAAAAAATAATCAACCGCAAACAAATTTGTATTCACACTCAAAATCAATTAACAAAGATAAAAAAAAGAAATGAATTTAAGTACCGATTGTAGTAGGGTGACCGGTGGTAGTGGTGGGTGACAATGACCATTACTGATGGTGGCAGTCATGTATGGCAACGGTGATGGTTGTGGTGGGGCAGTAGGGGTGGTGGTGGTGGTAGGGGTGATGGTGGGCAACAATGGTTCGAGTGGGTGTTGACGATGAGTGACGGTGGTAGTGAGATGATGGTGGTAATGATAATAAATATAAGAATAAGATGACGATGGCGATGAGTGGTGACATTGGACGAATGTGGTAGTAATCGGTAATGGATGACAATAGTGGTGATAGAGGTGGCGGTGGCAGGCGGCCCTGGGGGGTTGGGTCAGTAGCGGAGGAGGTGAAGGTAGTGGTAGGGCAGTCGCGGTGGTAGGGTGGTGACAGTGGCGATGGCAGTGATGGTGGTAGTGGTGATGGTCGTGGGGGTGATGGTGGGGCGGTGAGGATGATTGTGGTAGGGGGTAGTGGTGGGACAATGATGGTGGTGGTAGGGTGGCGACAACAGTGGTGGTGATTGTGATGGTAATAGTGGGGATGATGATAATGGTGGAGGCGGTGGGGGATGGTGACAGTAATAGTGGGGCAGTGGTAGTGGAGGTGATGGTGGTAGGGTGACGACAACAGTAGTGGTGGTGGGGGGGGGGGGGGGGGGGGCGACAATGATGACAGCGACGACAATAGTGTTGGTGATTGTTATAGTAGAGGTGGTGACGGTGACGACGATAGTGGTGGTGGTTGTTATGGTAGAGGTGGCAGCGCCGGCGATGGCAGTGGCAGTGGTGATGGTGGTAGTGGTTGGGGAATAGAGGTGACGATGGTAGTTGTGATCGTGGGGTGGCAGTGATGGTGGTAGTGGTGATGGTGGTGGGGCGATAGGGGGGTGGTGGTGGTAGTAGGGCGATTTCAAACGTTACTTTTTAAAAAATAAATATATTTATGAAAAGTTATAAATTTTAAAAATATTTTTAAAAAATTGTCTAAAATACACTCTTAAGGACCTATTTTTCCTATTAAATTTGAGGTATTAATATTAGCCGTCAGATTAACTTTAAAATAAAATTTCGTAACGAGCTCAATCGTGAAAAACAAAAGTTATTTATTTATCTTTTAAGATTTGAATTGAATTATAATTTATTATATAGATATAAAACGCAAAAAAAAGTTCAATTACTCTCTTTTTTTTTTTACTAGTATTGAATTTCGGCCTTTGTGTATTTAATAAGAGCAATGTTATGTTGATCAAGTTGTTGAATTAGTAGGGTTCATTAACTCCACCAAATATTCAATACATGGAATTTTGACATATCACTTGAGATACGAGATTTGATAAAAAAATTTGTGCAGAATAGTTTTATCCATTTAATAAATATTCATGTATTGAATATTATATAATTTATATTCCAAATGACTGTAAAAAAATTTAAACATTGTAGTTAGAGCCAACATATGTAATTAAACTCTGTAATTGCATAAATTGAAACTTGGATGACCAAATAAAAATTGCTTATAAAAGGTAAAATATATTTTTGTGCCCAAACTATGAGCTTTGTGCCAATTTGGTTTTCAATTTTTTAGTTGTCTATTTAGTCTCTCAATTTATGTTATATCGTATTGTAAATAAGCATAGCAAAAGAGTAATTACTCAAGTTCTAACATCCTTTGTTTTCATGTAATCTTAAAGAGTACATTGCCAAAATAAGCACATATCCTTCTAGGGCTATTGTTAAACAACAAACCCTATAGGGCTTTTGATAACAGCATCAAAACTTAACAGATATTGCCACAACTTGTAGATCATAGAAAATGACGAGAAATTGGTTTGACGGTATAGAGAGTCAAACGAGAAAACGTTGTAGATCCATCAAATTACGTCCCATAGGTCTTCCCAATATTTCCAATACGTTGGGAACTGCATTAATGATCCTCCGATAGAAATACTGATATATATGATTAAGAATGTACCTCGATGCAATTATAGGCATTAAGGCCCATAGAATGAAGATAAGCCAACAAAACCAGTGTGGGAGAAAGATTGACAGCAGTGAAATTGAAGATAGAGCTCCAAATATAGGGCTAAGACAGCCAAATAACTGAGAGTAGTTCAGATGATGAGGTTGGTCTATCACTTTAGCTGCTAATGTTGAACAGTAGATAGACAATGTTATGATAAAAGTCTTCATGGTTGTGGGATGTGTTTCTAAAGGAGACACATCTTTGTTCTGATACTTCAGTTGGAGAAGGCCAATCAGTGATGTGATGAAGAAGGCATACACAGCATGTTCTGAGACTTCTGTACTAAACCTTCTGATACCACGGCTATCATCAACGATCTCTAAGGCTGCCCTCATTTTCTCCTATTTGATGGTTTTTTTTTTTATTTGAAACTAATTTATAGCCTAGGTTTGATACCATCAATTGATATCAATCTGTAATGTTCAGGAGTCACGATAATTAGGTACGCATCAACACCTCTCTCCCTCTCTTGTTTTTCGATCTTGAATATGACAAAAAATGATGGAGTTGTCTACGGTAGGAAAAAAAAAATCGGTATCATACCTTTATTTATCACATTTGTGAATAGTTTTATTATCACTGTTGTAGATGTTTTGTGTAATAATCAACCACAAAAGTAGTAATTCTTTTTTATACTGAAAAAAAGTGATAAAAAAACTATCACGGTAGTGATAAAAATACACATAATAGAGGGAAAAACATTTGCAAAAATGATAAATCATCCATAAATGTGATAAATTTTTTGGTTGCAAAATGACTTGTAGAAGTTATAAAAATACTTATTAAAGTAGTACATTTTAGAGGTATGATACTGAATTTTTTTTTTATTGATACTGTAGTCTAATGCTTCGTTTGGTAGAAAGGATGGAAAGAAAGAGGGATACACTTTTTATCCTTCAAGAAAAAAAGTAAGAATGAATGATACACTTTCTTTCCTTTGTGTTTGTGTTTGGTAGGATGAATGAAAAATAAAAAATAATTAAATTTTTTTCTTTTTTGCTTGTTAAGATGGAAAATATATTTTTTTATCTTTAATTTTAAAAAAAATTTCATCCATTTTTTTTTTCTAATTTTGAAGGAATTAATTTTAGTGAGTTAGAAGAAAAACTCATACATCAATTTTTTTATTATTTTTATTTTCATTTTTTATTAAATATAATATTTTATCTATTCTTTTAATTTTTCATCTTTTAATTTTTTTATCGTATTAAACGGAACATAAGTCCAAAAAAGATAGGACCATGTTAAATAGAGTCGCGAAATTGTGCGTCATTGTCTCTCTCATCAATAAGAGAAGAATGGATCAAGAAATTTCTCCCTCGGACAGATAGAGAAAAAGAACGACAGTACCTAGGAGACAACTTTTAAATTTTTTATAAAAAAGTACATGTGAACGAAAGTATTTGGGCCTCATATTTATTTATTATCATAATGTGTTTGAAGACACGATAAAATATAAAATTTGAGCGCCTAAAAAATTGATCTTATTATATTAAATTTTTTTAACATATGTATATTATTGTATATGAATAATGTTTAAAATAAAAATTATATTAACTACAAATTAATTAAATATTAACTGATTAAACATATGATAGAAAGAGTGATTTGATATTTTTAGAAAAAAATATATAAATGATTAAACATATAATAAAAATTAGTGATGTGATATTTTTAAGGAAAAAAATATGTAGAAAATAAAATTTTAAATTACTATGTATTTTATTTTATAGATCGAAACCTACAATTCACGATGCATAGTTTCTAACTAGAAAAGAAAGGCAAGAAGGCACCGCACCTAACCAGCCATCACCAAAAAAGGAGGACTACGACTTTGCGCACAGGCGCACCTATACGCACTGAAGGCTGACCCTCAGATATTCACCTTATTTTAACTTAGGCCCAATACAAGTCTGATCCTAGGAAAGCTGTCCTAGAAGCGTCAAGAAGGCCCTTTCTTTTGGACCATGAATTCGGGATGAAGATAGTCAATTTGACAATCTCATCTAAGACTTCAAGCCTTCGTCCCGAAAGAGAGAGATTGACCATCTGTCTTTTGAGTCTTCCGTAGGGGATTAATGCTAGGGTTAATTCTACTTTGCACCCTACAAGATACTAAAATTTTCAATTTACACCTTGAAAGTAAAACTTTTTCACCTTACACCCTCAATCGTGTGAAATTGTTTCAATGTAGTTCACCAGATGTTCGTTGATATCTCCATCTATTTTAAATTCACGTGACAAGAACATGCAATCTTGAGGGGTTAATATGTAAAATGCTAAACAAGTTTTGGCGGGCAAATGGTATACCTGAAAGAGACGACTGTTGGGAGAGGTATTTGTTTGAGGAGATCTTCGACCTCAGAAATTTGGGAAAAGGACATGGAGTCTATGCACTGTTTGCTTTCTCCATGGCTTTCTCCATGGAAAAACACTATGAGGAGGGTGTGTGTGTAAGAGAGAGATAGAGTTATAAACTTAGAATGCTTAAAAGCATACACTATAATAAAGTAATCTTACCACTCAAACCGAGTTCAGAAACGTCCAAGACTTGGCAGCTCTTCTTTTCTCTCTCCTCGCTGTAGGTTTGAGGTTCTGAGTCTGAGAAATAATGAAATTTTCCCCAATCAGAAATCTTAAAGGCACAGGAGAGGATCAAAATGACACGCATGACCTCACTCTAGCAAAACTCTAAAAAGATCTTGCCAAAGAAATATAAAATGAAATTAATGGGGATCATATTAGAGTTGGATAAATATTATAGATTTATCTTCATCGGCATATAAACGCCATGCCATCTCACCCTTCGGCCCATAAAAAAAAGAGAGAGAAAAAAAAAACAGTTTCATAATTTTTGAAACTGTCCCACCAGCTCCACAAGAAAAATTGCAGGATCTCCCACCTGCTTTTGAGACTAAAACTCTGCTCCACAAGTTTCTCAAAAAATTACAGATCTTCTCCCAAGTTCTAGAAAATTGCAGAATCATCCCAGAAGTTGCAGAATTATACACCAGACGTTCACTTTAGATATAGAAGTTGCAGAATCTCTTTCTCATCTCCTTAATTCTTCCATTTCTCATCACCCTTCAACTTCTATTTCTCATCTCCTTCTTCTTCCCAATCTACATCAGAAATCTTCACATACTAACACACGCGCTTTGTGAAGAGAGTTTTTTTTTTTTGATCCAAACTTTGTGAAGAGAGTTTAAATAAGTAAAGACCAAACAGAAAACAGAAAATACTCTGAAAAACAATTATGCAAATCATGTAGCGGGTAAATAATTACAAACCTCGTCCATAGTCAAGCAATTAGTCCTCTATCCTTTGGATAATCAGATTAGCTGTTACATTTGCCAATAAGAATGCTCCATGAAAGTTTTCTTGGTAGCACATAGATTCCAGTTCTCTAGCCATTTCCAATAAAATTACATATCTGTAAAGTAAAAAAGGAGGAGATTTTTTTATGGTAAAAAATTCATTCATTTCTGTTACTTCACAAGAAGAAAAGAAAGAAAACAGGAGGTCTGTTGAATTTCACCAAAGATTTGTAGTACGAGTGGGCAGCAACCTTGCTGATTTCTAAATTGGTTGCCTCAGGATAGTACTCATCATCCAACCATTTGTGCAGAGTAACTCTGATTCCTGCAGCAATGCTGGAAAAAATTGAGCTTCTGCATATATTAATTATTGGGGAATTTAGCACAATTTTATAAATTCAAATTACCAAACCAAATTCAAAAAACACTAAACAGAAAGGATACAAACACACACGTATGGTAAAATAGCATGCAATTACCAGAAAATATAATAGCAAAAGGTTTAACAAATAGAATTTTTTTAAACCCTGCAAAATCCAGCCCCAGCCTGAAGATCAAAACCTTCTCCAGTCTCTTCCCACTTGTGGAACCAAGAAGAAGAGCAGACATAAGGTGCCACAAAGAGACTCTCCATGGCTATTCTTGCTTCTGCAAGATAATCTGGGAAATTCCACTCCATTGATTCACATAAAGCTTGGTAGTGCCTCAGATGTCCGACAAAGATCACGAGCCATATCCAGAGAAAAAAACCATTTTCTTCGATTTCATCCCTTGACTCACTAGACAGCAAGGCTGGACCTCCCTAGTCACCGGCTTGACTGCATTGACTTAATGGACTGCCCCTTTTTGGTTGCAGAAATTTAGGCAAAGAACTTTTCTGACATCAAACAAAAGCAAAAGTGTATTTTAAAAGGCAGAAAATCGAATATTACAAGCTTCCGCCTCTTTTCATTCTACTCATATTTTCTGTTTCTCTGTCTTTCCTCAGCTTCTCCATCACCAAAAGTTGCAACTCCTTTACTGGTTGCAGAATAGGCTAAGAGTTCCTTGGATGTCTTCAGAAACTCCATGACATGACTCATACTACTCCTCCCCATGTGTGGAAGCCCAACCATGCAATTGAAGGCCAACCATTCTCTCTGTCCACTGTTCTTCTTCGATCCCTTTATCTCACTCACCAAGTCCTTTATACTCATCTCTTCCACTTAAAATTTCAGACCAAAAGGTCTCGCATGATCAAAGAGTCGCTGCTTTGTATCCTCAAACTTCCATCTCACAAAATTGGAATCGTTTTCTGATTTTATTGATGTTAATCTTAATGTCTTTTGCTTCTGCACTATGGCCTCAATCATGGGAGACCATTGAACCCCCTCTCGCATGTCAAAGTCTACTATGTTTATCACCTCTGCGTCTTGTGGAATAGCTTCAAGGATAGCAGAGTTGGCTGCAAAGTGAGCAAACCTCCCATATGGGAAGATCTGGTAGATAGGCCTTGAAAGCTGCTTCAAAATTCTTAATTGACTCCTGTTTCAGGTAGTCAACTTGATTTTCTGTGGATTGGAAGAAGTTGTATGTGACACGTTCAAGCGCTTCCCCAATCGGATTAGCTTTCTTCTTTATGCTTCTCACGAGCACCTCAGTTGAGCTTCCCATGCCCCATCTCCAATACTTGAAGAGTCTGGTAGCAGTTTTTTCTGTGGATAGCAGAGAATTAAGTCTGGTGGACAAAAATAGTTATACAGAATATAGCTCCACTTACACCTTGGTCGAACACAAATTCAAGGCTGATGTTAGCTATATATTTAGAGACATCACTGAATGATTAATTAAGAAGTAGCAGTTAAGATGAAATAAACCTAGAATTTGGTTGATAAAGAATCCATCACATCGTCAGTCACCTCAGTACGATGCCGACGAACGGCTACTCCGATGCTTATGGCCACCGGATCAGCGAAGTTATATACATTGTGAGGCCATATGGCGCCTCAGCAGACAGTTTACGATCCCTCTCACACTTCACGCACAGAAATTCATCAACTCTCAAGTCTCAACAACAAAATCTATGAAATTGAGGCAATAAAGCCGGAAGAGAGGTGATCGGCCGGAGAGAACCGAGTACGGCACAGAGTCTTGTTCTGGGGAGAGGAGAGGGGATGGAGACGAGACTGATTTGGGGAAAAATGAACTGAAACTTGGGCTTTTATTCAGGTAAACTATCACTTCTCCGAGGTGTATCGAACACGTCTCGATAATTCTCGAATCGAATAAAAGAGATCATAAAATAATATTTGAAGGTATCTCAAATAAATATAGATAATCAATTCACGGATAGGGTAATAAGATGGGTCTGTCAAAGAGGAAAAATCTGTACTTGATCTCTCTCGAATTTTCTTCAGCAAATTCTGGGCGTCTTGAACAACCCCACTGGACAATGCATAGAAGCACTAAATAGTACTGAAAAGTTGCAATGGGCTAGACTTGAAGAGTTACCATGAAACACACTGATTGAGTTCAACAGAAAACTTGCAATGGTTTGCATCCAAGAGTTGGTGACACTTGAGCTTTTTGAAAAGCCATTTTATCCAAACCATTACCATTTAAGCATACATCATTAGAAATAATAAATAATAACACATAAGCACGGGCGAATCTAGGATTTATGTGCAGCGGGGGGAAATTATAACTAATTTTTAAAATTAAAATTATAACATTAAAGATATATAATTTATCAAAAATATGGTGATACTGAAAAACTAATCTATATAATAAAATACAATATAATTCAAATCTAAAAAAATAAACAAAATGACTTTTACTATTCGTGGTTGAAATCGTTTTAAATTTTATTTTAAAATTAATCAAACGGCTAATATTAACACTTTAAATTTAATAAAAAAAAAATAAGTCTCTAAATGTGTGTTTGAAATGACTTTTAAAAATACTTGTAAAAATTATTTCTCATAAATTTTTAAAAAATAAATAATATTTCAAACTACCTCACCACTACCTCTAATACTACAACTCCCACCGCCACAATCACTATTGCCACCTTACCATATCCACCACCGCTAACACCACATTTTAAAAATAATTTTAAAAATTATTCTTTATAAGTACTTTAAAAAAAAATAGTATTTCAAACTATCCCACCACTATCTCTAATATCACAACCCCCACTGCTCCACCACCACCGCCACAATCACTATTGCCACCTTACCATATCCACCACCACCAATGCCACATTTTAAAAATACTTCTAGAAATTATTCTTCATAAGTATTTTGAAAAAAAATAATTTTTCAAACCACCCCACCACTATCTCTAATACCAAAACCCCCACCGCTCCACCATCGCCACCATAATCACTATTGCCACCTTACCATATCCACCACTACCAACGCTAGAATCACTATTGCCACCCTACCATATCCACCACCACCAAGCCATCACTCTTGGGTCTCTATTCCTCTCTGTCCGTGGGTCTCTTTGTGTGGCTTTCTTGTTTTCCTACAGTCGGCGCCATGTCCGAACCACCAGGTTCGTAGAAGCCGAGTTTACTAGGTGAGGAATGGGTTATGGGTCTGACAGAATTGCAGTGTTGCAACTGAATAAGCCTTTGAACGACGTATGGGTCTGGCAGAATTGCAATGTTGCAAGCCAAACAATGGATTAGACTGAATCTAAACACTCCCATTTTGAATCCTACCACTCCCACCTATGACTGGATAATAGCCAAATAAAGGAAACTCTTTCTTTCATCCTCATTTTCTATTTATCCCATTTTCAATCATACCAAACAAGCGGTGAGAGTACTAAAACGAACCTTTCTGAGTTGGAAGCATGACGAAGATGACAATCGCCAACAATTCTTCTCTGTTTCCTTCTTCTGAATCATCCAGCTTTGTCCTGAGACTTCTTTATTAAACCTTTGGGCTATCATCAACAATCTCTTAGGCCGGCCCTCATTTTCTCCAATTTGCAATAACAATGTTCACATGTGCATAACTTCTTTTTTTTCGTCAATATATGTAAAAGCTTTGATAATACCAAAGTATCAATTAGGTCTCAATTGATCGTGCCGCCGTCTCGGAGGGATTTCAACAAACAAGAAATTTTCTAGCAATTGAAAATGGAACAAGTCACGACACGAAGGGTGTTTAACGTACACGCCGCGCAGGCTATTAAATAAATGTCACGTAATCTAAATAAATTCAAAAATTATAATTTAAATATTTATTATCTTTTAGATGAATGGATCTCATTGAAAAAGTTAATGAGACATACTCATCTAAGGGATGCTATACATTTGAATTGTAGACACCAAAAAATTATTTGGGTGTGTTAGAATTTGACCCAAATTCTTTAATTGTCATAAAGGAGAAATTTGTTAGGTAATCAATGTGGGAATCTTCAATGAAATAAGAAACATATTTGAAGAGTTTTAATATACCATAAATATGTATATTAGACATGTGATTAGAAATATAAAGATCATAAGTTTCGGTTATAATATTTTTTTTCTTATAAATAAGGTTAAGTATTATATAATAAGTTATGAAATGACCAATTTTTCAATAAATAATACATCGTTTTTTATTCACGGATGTGGGTACGGTGTACCAAAATGGATACGCTATATCGAACCACTAGCGATATTCCGTGACTAAAGTTACTGTACACTGAATTATTACACTGTGATACATTGGAATGGGTGTTGGAGTGTGTATGTATGTGTAGTTGTGTGTTGTGAAGTGTGAAGTGTGTGTGTTGAGTTTTTGAAATTTGGAAGGGAAACTATGTGTTGGGTGTGTGAAATTTGGAAAAAAAAATATACCCCTTATAAGTTCAAACACTTATCTGATTTATTATATAGATGTTATATTTTTATCATGCTTTTATTATTTTTCCTATTTTTGAATTCTTCTAACAAGTGTTATTAATGTTAATTATCTGTTATGCAAAATTAGCATTGTGTAGCATTAAAAAAATAAGAAAAAAAATTGAATAGGTCTCGAGAGGAAGGGTGTTTAATGTACTCGTCAAGAAGGCAATTAAAAAAATAGAAAAAAAATTCTATAGCAATAAAAAAATATCCAAGAATTATATTTTGGTTAGTCTAATAACCAAGACAACAATCCAAACTTTATTTATTGGACTGAAAAATCAAGAACAAGCGAACATTTGGAGGCAAGCAATTCACGACAGGGTATATTCGAAAATATAATTAAAAATAGATTCTTGAGAGGTGTGAACATCTAGGGTTTGAGGTCTACAAAATTTGTTAGATCTGTAAAGAGAAACTGATTATTTTTCGATTAATTAGATTACTATACACGGGGTTTTGGAAAAACTAAGGAGGCCATGGCCCCCCTTGCCCTCAACGTGGTTCCGCCGCTGCGAAGCGTGGGAGGCTTGCGCAGAGAGCATAGCATAGGGAGCAAAAGGGCATAGAAACTTGATATGCTCGATTGGATTCGTCCTCCTAAACCTATAAGTAGTTCATATGGAGTTTACATAGAATTATGAGATAGAGAGCCCATAATCATTAACTTGTTCCATATTTTTGTGAATAAGAGTAGTCAAAAAATAGGTGAGAGTGAGTCTCATAGCCAACCAACTCCCACATTAAGATTGAATGATTGTATCCTACTCAATCCCCCTTTAACAACCATCCACATGATAAAAACTCATGTTATGTTTTCAAAATCGGACCAATGGGTGACAACCACACTAACGGATCAAAATCCGACAGTATTCCAATCCCCATACCCATGTCAATTACCCACCAATTGAAACTTCTCCCCCCTTTTCTTTTTCTTTCTTCTTTCTTCTCCAACCACGACAACCAACAGATCAATTTGTATGTGTGTACACATTTATAAACTCTCTCTCTCTCGGGTAGATTTCTTTTGAGGGCGTTTCACTAGTGGGAGGGGTTTTGTTTGGGAACTAACTGTTCGAGGGTGGTGATGGATTTCACTTGTAGAGGGAGTGAGTCCAGTTTTTTATGCTTGGGGATGAGTTTCACCAAAGGAGGAAGAGAATTCAACTGCTTCGATTCGGGGGATGGGGTTTACTGAAGGAGGCATGGGTTGGGTCTTCTCACTAGAGGAAAGAGGTTCCATGGGTACTTGTCGAGCTTGTCTGATTACTCCAACCCATGTCGATTACTCCAACCCCCTTCTTGCTCCGGCAGTCTTCTACCCTATACCCAACTCTGGTAGCACCACAAAACCCACCTCCATCAGCCTCTCCCATACCAGCACAAGCAAACTCCCAAGCCCCATTTCATAGAAACCATTGAATCGATCCAGTCAACCATGGCACAGCAACCATTGGATCTAGTCGTGTGTGTGTGTGTGTGTATACGAATCAGAGGAGGGAATGAGTTGGGTTTCACCAAAAGAGAGGAAGCAGTTCAGTTGTTTGAGCGTGGTGGGTGGGGCTGGGTTTCACCGGAAAAAGGAAGGAGTTGGGATTCCGCCGATGCAAGTTTGGGTGAAATTGGATTTTATTTTATTTTTTTCAAAACAAAAGATTGAGGTATGGATAGTTTTGTACTTTTGGTCAATTTTAGATAATTTTTATATCAAATTTCTGTTATTTTTTGTCAACTAACGGAGAAGCTAATTGAAAAATATTATAACATTAAGGGGCAAATTGTCAAATTTAAAATCTGAGAGAGTCGATTGCAACATAAACCAAACTTAGAGGGGGTATTTTATAATTAATCCTTTTTTTTATACCTACCTCTTATGTTTCTTCCATATTGTCACTGGCATTGCTTTTCAATACATGCTTTGGGATTTTTTATTTAGATGTTATAAATTGTTTAAGAAAATTAATAAATTATTAGTATTTTTAATGTTTTTATTTAATCTACTATTACATAAAATATGTTATTTTTATAATTATTCTTATTAGTAATTGTTTTTATTTTTTATTATATGACTAGTCTAATTAGTTGATCCAATGGTCAAACCAGTTACTAATTGAGTCGGTCTCTTAACCGGTTTGATGTCCGATCCGATTCTAGTAATTATGGATAAAACACATTCTAGAGATTGATTGCTTAAACCATAAAGCTTGAACCAAGGTACCCTTGATTAGCTTGAAGGTTTCCATCCAAACCAGTTGTGAACCTCCCTCTTGTATTAGGGTTCCATTTAACTCTATCCTTTCTTGCTTGGTTAGGAACATATGTTGGCATTGAGCTAAATATTTCCCTGATTTCAGCAGTTGTGACTCTAGGTCAATGCTATTGGTTGTTGTTTATGATGCAACTCACTTTTACTTCCCAGGGTTTGTGATGACCTTGGGATCCCAATTCATGGTGAGTAGGACAATGGGATGCCAATTATCATACCACAGACTAATAATCTCTCCATTCCCAATCAAATGGGTAAGGTGTGGTCGCCCTATAACTTCAAATAATATTATCCTGGTTCCAACTAAACTTTACAATTATTAATCACTACATCCTATGTACGCAGTTTGGGGATTTGGGTGAATTTAAAATTCCTGCAGTTTCAGCATTCAATAGAAGAATGATCACTGGAATGGCGGCTAGACATACTGGGGGATCTGTTAGGCTGATATAATAGATTGTGTCCACCCAATTCTATGTATTAAAAGAATCATTTTCTTAGTGAAGAGTCATAAAAAAATAAATTTTCCCCTTTTTTAAATTTTTTTTTTGAATTATAATATTAGAAATGAACAAATTATGTTCTACCACTTGTCTAAACTAACCATCCTCAACTTATGCTAAGTAACTATTATTAATTTAAAATTTTATAAAATTACTTCTATTACTCTATAATTTTTCATAATTATTTTATCTCAAGTAGTTGGGTGAGAGTGAGAGAGACATAAACCCATCTGTGTTGTGGACCGGGCCCAAACTTACACCCCGTGAATGAGCCCATGTTTCTAATGTTTAGAGTCCTCCCATTTGCTAGTGTGCCCTCTACAGCACGCCTAAAACCATTTATAAATAGGAAATTAACGGGTTCAGTACTGTTTATTAGAAATATTAGGCAAAAAGTACCACAATTGAAAAGATCAATAAAAAAGTATACATGTTATACTCAAAGTCTAAAATGCCATTTTTTTTGTAGAAATTGAACAGTTTCCTAAACAAGTGAGGACACCACCAGAAGGAAGGAAAGAGATAGCAGTTATGCATAGTTTCACCATTATCGCCGCACTGTGTGAACTTCAAACGGGGATGACAAAACTTCTCCAAAACCACCGTTCTTTGAAAATTGTCATTTAGAAATCAGTTTTTTAGGGTTTCATAGTGAAAAAGTCATTAAACTGATAATACCACACAAGAGCATCAATCATTGAAGAACCAAAGGTGCATTTTGATGAAGAACGATGGTTGAGATCATTGAAATTTTTAGAAAAGAAGTTGATAACTTAAGAAAAACATTGTTTCTCCCAATATTTTTATTTTATCTACTTTTTTTTTCTCAACTACATTTCTGCTTCTAGTGTTTGGTACTACATGCACACTAAATATTCGATTATTTGCAAAAAAAATAAAAAATCAAAGAGATCATATACAACTGCATTCTCACAACAAACCTTGCTTGCCATCACCGCCCTCAAAAACCTTCCAACCCCACATACACTATTTGATCGAGACCACAACCAACATCATCACCTCCTCACAACTTTAATTTCACCCACAAACACAATTCGTTCTCTTTTGTTTGTTTGTGATACTATGTAATATTATTTACATTAAATTTAGTTATTCGTAATGTGTGTGGCATACAATTTTTTTGTGTATTGTCCACTATGATATTTCATTGTGTCATGCGCATGTCAATGTATGCAGTGTGACATTGACTTATAATAGTGTGACATTGATTTGTAACAATGTGAATTTAGTTTGTAGTAGTATGACATTGATTGGTATCAATATAACATAGGCTGATATTAGTGTGACATTGACTTGTATCAGTGTGATATTATCTTGTAACACTGTGATATTGTCGTATACCATTGTGTCAATTCACTTATAAACTGCCGCATGGAAAAATAAAACATAAAACAAAGCACCAGTTCACTATTTCACAATTTCATTCCACAACACTAAAACTAGGAAGTCCAAAAAAAAAATCTTAGCACTTACTTTGCTTGCCTATTTGAAAGTTAACAAATTAAACCCGGATAACATCTAAAGTTTTATGGCAAAAGGTAGAAATTCAAAACAAATTTGGGAACCATCGAAAATACCGAATAAGCGGTGGATTGTTATTATGTTGTCACTTGGCAATTTGTACTTTTGCACAATCAACAAGATACTAAAGGTGAAACATGCAAGAGCTATGAATGTCAGCAAAGTTGTTTGATATGTAAATAAATTGTATCGGCTTCTGATTAACTAAAATATTTCATTGTAATTAAATGTTATTAGACTGCTTTGATCTTATTGATATCAAACAACAATTAAATCATGCTCACAAGAATGGATGAAATATGAATCTGGGTGTATAAGAAAAATGAATCACTAAAACTGATGATTGTTAAAACTTATTTGCCTTGTCATGGAAACTAGATGGCACATATCTTCACACACAGATACACGCTTTTACGAATTTTAGAACATCACAAAGGTATTCATGTACAACTCTGCAGAATTTTTGAACAATAATCCTTGTTTAGTCAAATTTAGTTTCCTTGTACTTTATGAAAGGAAAAAAAATAGTTTTCCAATATGCAAACCAAATCAATCAAACAAGAAGAAGTTTTGTTAATTCAAATGGCATCGCTGGTTACACCGCGTATGGACACAGGATTTCCAAGAGAGAAACGAGGAGTTTTTTTACCTTGTCTGTCAATAGTTTGTGAAGAAACATATAAACACAACAGTGAGGAGTGAACTTGCAGATGCAATGAATCGCCTCTCCTTCTTGAACATCTTGACAGGCTTGTGGTCAGCAATTGTGGGCCAACATAGTCTAGATTGCATAATCAAAAGTTATGTATACAATAAGTTATTTTAGTTAATCAGAAGTTATTAACTTTTGTTGATATCTTATAGTAACATAGATTATGCATAAGTAGAGGGTGAAAGTGCAACCCACCATAAGAGGAGGCCCAGGTAGGAGCTCTTAGCTCTATACGATACACACCAAACACAGTGATATCACACACTCTTGTTTTAATTATTAGAAATGTATAAATATAGACTTAAGTATTTGAGGATCTCCCTGGATCAAAACCGGGGGCCTCTAACTTTTTGTCGCTTTTGCAGGTCAAGGATGGGTCTCTTACTTCGGAGATAGACTTAACTCTGCCAACTTCGAATTCAAGAAGAAATTGATATAGTTGTGTTTTACATATTCGCATGGATAATGGATCAACCTTAGATGTAGAGGTAAAATGACCTTATCCCTCTTTCTCCTCTTCGATTCCTTAGTGTGAAGGAAATTGTTTAAGGATAAAAACGTGTTTAAGGATAAAAAATCCAAGGTTTGGTCGTCAATTGTACACGAAATTTTCTTTATTGTCTTTTCAGTACACTTTTCGTAATAAAAATGTATGGACAAAATTGGTCCAAAAAACCAAAAAACAACACAACTAATCTCAACCAAGTCTTGAAGGTTGGGTGATGACTTTAATACCAATCCAAATGTACAATATGGTATGTTTTTCCTTGGTTTTTTTCAACAATAGACCACATGCTACATTTTGTTGAGGTTTGACTATCACATCGAGTTAAAAGAGTCTATGTTATATTTCAACATGACTGGCGAAGCAGACAAACGACCTTGCATTTTTTTTCTTTTTTATTTTGTATAAAAGAATCTTATTTCCTATTTAATTTACCAATTCTTCAAAAGATACTGAACTTTTGTATTTGAAAAATATTTTTGAAGAGATTTCTTAAGTAGATGATGTCTTGTAAAAAACCACTCAATCAATGCATGATTTGTTTGTTAAACGAATGCAAATTATAAAATTACCTGACATAACATTTGTCACCTACTAAATAATCGAGACATTTAGGTTGATTTGAGTTCTCACCGAAAATCTTTTAAACAGCCACTATTATACATGTTTAACCTGTTTGTCATAAAAATTTCTCTCTAAATTTCCTATAAAGAGTGTCCCCCTTTACGGGTTATATACAATTTCTTGAATTATTTTGATTCGTGGGAGATTTTGTAATATTCTTTCTTGTCTAAAAATACAACAAATAATTAGGGGTGTCGAAATATGACACGAACACGATATGAATTAGAGGATTTGAGTTTTTCCTAAGTCATCAATTTCATGAACAAGTAAACCTGATTCAACACGATTATTAAAAGAATCGAGTACAGATGAAGACAATCAAAAGAAATACACAGCATTACTTGTTTATATACTAGTTATATACGAATCATACATAACACGAGTTTGATATAATACGATTCATTACACACGAATTAATATTTAAATCAAGTATGATTGAAGTATTTTTTGACACGAAATTATGTCACTCGACATAATTGACAGACCTACGATAAACAGCCTTCTTAAAATTTGGAATATGTCTAATAGTTGCAAGTGCTACCCAGACTAATATATCAATAAAATACAGACATGCACATATTTTTTTTTTTATTTTGAACATGAGACATGCACATATCAAACTAAGTTTTATTAAGGGGTTACTCATAAATATTAGATTAGGGTAAATAATATCAAAAGAAAATCATAAATGACTTGACGAACAATAAACAGATCAAGATATATTACCCAAACATGGCTAATTCATTATACGTGTTTGGCGAGTTTATCATTTATCACTGAATTCAATAATATTAAACTCAAAATCATTGTATCCGCTTGTCTCGAATAAGAGAGACCCATTTGGATTTTTTTTTTTTTGGGGGGGGGGGGGGGGGGGTGTCCAGATTGATGAGCTGGGAACCAGCATGTAGAGAGCATGTCCTAGAAATTCAAAATCACACATTCTTTGATTTGGCTCCTTCCCTAAACTTTTTCCCATGTCCTATTTCTAGTCTGTCTATTCACATAGGAGATCCTTAGGAGATTCCCAGGAATCATCCCCTCCTAAAATCCCATTTACCATCAAGCACTGCTACCATGACAAAGCCAACATCACTGACACATTCTCTATCTCTTACACCTCTCTGGGACCCACTTATCCTACGAATCCCACCCCATGCAGTCTCTCACCCTCATGTTAATTTAGCCCTCCTACCACCAAATTTCCCTTGATTTGTACTAAAAAGCCACTTCCTAGCATTGGTCATAAGCATGACTACAGTAACCGAATATGCCGCGAATTCTCTTACTTCAACGGCTCTTTTATACCTTTTCTAACCACCTATTCATCACGTCAAGCATATACCCACCAAATATTCGATCTTTTGCCAATAAAAACTAATATTTCCCGTTTGCTTTCCATTACGCACTCTCTCACAATCTTTGATCACTCTTCTTACGGGTTTCTCATTCTCATTTTTGATACAAATCTCAAGTGGGTTTTCGATGAAGTTCGGGAAGAGATTGAAGCAACAGATTCAAGAGACCTTGCCTGGGTGGCGAGACAAGTTTTTATCGTACAAGGATTTGAAGAAGCTTGTTCGGTTGATTTCTTCAGCTCCACCGTTGTTGAATGGATCACTGGAGTATGGGAGGGCTGAAGCTGAGTTTGTGTATTTGTTGAACAATGAGATTGAGAAATTCAATGGGTTTTTCATGGAGCAAGAAGAGGATTTCATTATCCGGAATAAGGTATGATTTCATGTTCTTATGTTTGTGTTGGGGGTTTATTTATTAAGACCAATGTGTATAGAAAGGTTATTGAGAGATCTATAAACCAAAGTTGTGTGCTTGTTTGGGCTGAATTGAGTCAAAGGGATGGGCATCACTTGTTAGACTCCAAAAAGTTGGTGGGTCAACCGAGTTGTCCTAGTCATTACTCAGTGCCAACTCGGTTACAGTGTGACAATGTCAACTTTACACATCTTTCATGAGGAAGCTTGGAATGTGGGCCTTTTTTTTTAAATAATGCTCTTCTTAACCCAATAATGTGGCACAACCATAATCAGTGGTTCATATGAAGTTGGTGTAGAAACTTATCAAAACCACATAAAGGTTTGGTATGGAATTTGGACACGACAGAACAAATTCGGGATTCGAGAATTATTTGGGTACAGAAGATATTTGGAATCAAATTCGAGAACTGAGGATAAAGAGTTGGGAGTTATTGATCACGACATTATTCATCAACTCAACTAGACCTTGTCCCAACTCTTGATGGCGACAATGTTTGGCAAAAATCTTGAGGAAAGCCAATATGGAAAACAAAGATGCTGACTGTGAATGTTGGGATTGAACATTAAGAAGTTCTATTGAACTTTTTAACTTAGTTTTTTTCTTTTCCAATGCACAGTATGAATACTTTAGGCTACTGATGGGATATACTTAGGTTTATTAATATATCTGTTGGGGTTTTAGTTATGAATATTGAATCTGATGAAGCAAAGTTGTGTGTTTAATTTTTGGGTCTGAACCGAGTCAAAGGCTAGCATCACTTGATAGACCCAAAAATTGGTGGGTCAACTGAGTTGTTCAAGTCGTTTCTCACAGCCAACTCAGCTACTAGTATGAAAATATCAACATTTTACACCTTTCATGAGGAAGTTTGGACTATGGGTCCCATTTTCTATAGTAATACTCTTCTTAGTTCTTACCCATTTTTCCACCTACTTTTCTATACCCATTGACGTGGCACAACTATAATCATTTGATAACTAGCGATATCTAATTAAATTCACTTATTCAACATTCGCACGAAATTTGTGGAGAAACTTGTCAAAATTCCATTTAAGTTTCTAGGGAACAAATTCGGGATTGAAGAATTATTTGCGTGTTAGAGGATAGTTTAGAATCAAATTCGAGATTGAAGACATGAAGTAAAAGAGTTGGAGTTATTGATTGCGACAGTACTCAACTCAACTGAGTCTTGTCTCGACTTTTGATGGTGACAATGTTTAAAAAAATCTTGGAGCAAGCTAACGCGGAAAACAATGTTACTTGTGAGTGTCGGGATTGAACATTATTCCTAGGATGTGGTCATGATGATTATAGGTGTGAAAAAAAAAAATATTCCAACTCAAAGGCTTGAGACATCAGGTTCAATCAAAGACAGCTTCATAGGCTACTCAGTTTGTAAGTCTTGCTCAAAGTGTTATGAATAGCAATATTATTTGGAGGCTGATCCATGACTTAAGGTTGGAAGAAACTTAATTGGAGTACTATGTCCACATAGAATGCTCTTTTAAAGGCACATTACCTGCTTATTGATTAAATTGCAAAAGACCTGAACATTGTTAGAAGCTTATATGACATTTAACACAGTTTTCAATCACAAACAGGTTCCGACATAGGGATCACAAGCAGGTTCCGAATATGATATTTGGATTTTAGAAACTCCTGCTTATTGATCATTTTGTTAATTTCTTGTTGAGAGTTTTCTTAGTTGGTCTTCTTGTACTGAAATAAGAATGAATAAAGGTGGTATTTGGTGCAGGAGTTGCAACAGAGGATCCAGAGAGTGATCCAGATATGGGGGCCGAATGGGAGTAAACCATCAGAGGCAGATTATGAAGAGGAGATGGCACGGACCAGAAAAGATATTGTCAATTTCCATGGAGAAATGGTGCTCTTAATGAACTATAGTAACATTAACTACACAGGTAATCATCAAGGCTCAACTCTTCCAATGCCCATGACCACACCAAGTTCATTTTGCTGCATTCCCTTTTTAGCTTTCCTAAATCCCACAATGATAACCTCTTTCTGTACAAACCTTTTATGATTTTTTACCTAGCAATTTTATGAATGAAGTTGCATGAATGAGATTATGAAGTGCTCTATCTAAGGATTTGAACCAAAACTATACCACAATAGAAAAAATACCATACTAAAATCTATATAGGCAAATATGTATTACAGTAATTACTGATAAGTTTGGAGGAGGAATGGTGCGATCATATCACACTAATGCACCGGATCCCATCAGAACTCCGCAATTAAGCGTTTTTAGGCATGAGTAGTATTAGGATGGGTGAACCCTAGAAAGTCCTCGTGTTGCACCCCTTAAAAATAAAAAAAGTTGGAGTAGCAAGCAAATTAGGACAGAAAAGCAGAAACACAAAACAAAAATTGCCCAAAACAAACATAACTCAAAAAATACAAAATACTTAAAAAAACATTATG